GGGCACTGTCCCTCGCTCTGCCTGGGGCTGACTGTCCCCAGCTCTGTCTGCCTGTAGGGAGCAGGGCTCACAGCTTGTGTCACCAGGACACCTTCACCAGCTTCACCCTCACCATCAAAAACTCTTCCTGGTGGGGCTGAATTTAGGGCTGTTACCCACACTCAGACCAAGGGGTTTCCTCAAGAAATTCTGAAAGGAATTCTTTGCACTGCTGTGTCAAGTGTACTTTTAAAACATAATAAAAAAACATGTAGAGAGGTTTCTTCTTTATAATGAAAGAGTAAAAGCATACAGTGCAAGCTGTGAGAAACAAATGAACATCAAAATCCAATATGCACCTCTCATACTTACAGAGCTTAGAAAAAAATTAAATAATGGGGGAAAATTATGCAACAGCTCAACATTTCTAGCTGTATAATAAATGTTAATATCTGCACAATGATAAACATTGCAGCATAATGAACCTAAAGGGGCAAAGAAATTCAAACAACTACAGAGCAACACACATAGACCAATGTCCCTAAAAACACCGCACAGCCACCTCACACTTGAAGCACTGTTATTTATGCAAAATCTGTAAGGGTTTTTTTTTTAATCAATCTTGGTCGGTGGGTGGAAGAAAAAAGCACTTTCAAGCCTCTAGGCACACAGCACTTGCATATTTGCTTACACACTGAGTTGCACAGGCTGTACTCCGTGTCAGACACCCTGTCTGTGCACAACTCCCACAAAGCCACATTTCCTCCCTTTACCCTTATGCTAACAGGTGTCACAGTCCAAAGGAAAGTTTGTACATATGTACAACATCTTGGCAATTAAACCACTTACCAAAGCAATAACAGCCTTCTGTGAATTCTCAAAAGGAGCTAATTTTTCAAGTTTTTAATGCAAAAGTTAATGAAGTAAAAATCCCAAATTAGATATATCAAACCAAGATTTTTCAAAACCTAACTTTGTTGCCTGGCTCCACAGAGGGTATCAGGAGTGCAGAGAGGTACCTTAGATTTGCTGCCTCAGTACAGGGAATGTCAGCTCTAACACCGTTCCCCAAACAGACCCCCAAGCACCTCACACAAACCAGTGTCAAACGCAGAGCTCCAAACACCTTCCGACACCGAGGGCACAGAAGCCTCTTCTAATGACAAGGGGCCTCCAACTACTGCTCCAAAACACAGATAAAGCCTCTTGRTTTCTTTTTAACGAGCAATAGAGGACAAAGTTCTCACATGAAAGCACGCATCCTGTCACAACTGAGTAAGACCTTAAGATGCGACAATCTGTGTTCAATGCTGTCCTTTAAGCCCCCTCCAGACTTAGGAAGAACATCCCATCAGCTAAGCTTGGAYAGGAGCACCTTTCTCCTCTTKAATCTGTGTCAATGTACATCAAGAGAGAAACCAAACTGGAGACCAATTCCATCAGTAACCTCCCAGTTTGGATACCTGACTGGAGGGGCAGCCAACAGAACAGAGTGCTCACCTTTCAATTTATGGTCCCCAAAACCATTTATTTTGTGCTCATCATTTCAACCAAGTGCTGTGTCCAGTTCCTTAGCAGAGCTTCTGGCTCTAAGGAGCTCTTACAATAATGCTAATAATGCTCTAATAATGCYACTACACTAGTAATGTTACTACACTAGCACTTTATGCTGATCAGCGTGATAACCGAAGGGAGAATTCCCAGCTTGCCATTACTCCACCCCTTCCCACTCATCACCAGCAACAGATCCCGTAGCCCACACTGATACAGACTGGGGAGAAAACCCCAGAACTTCTGCTTTTTGATTCTTGTGGAGAGGAAAGGGAAATGAACACAGAAAACCACCAGGAAAAAGCAATGCCCTCCACCTCCGCAGCAGTGCTAATGCAGTGGAGGAAGGAGCACAAACTCAAAGTGCCTGAAGAAAGACACTGCAGGATTTCTCTCCTCTTGTCAGTCTGCTGTGCATGAGCAAGCCTCAAAAACAGATTGCACTTGCATGGCACCCCCAAATGCCTTGAGTCTGCCCTGCTGTGATCCCRTTCTTCCTTGCAGCAGCTGCAGCGTTTGTGCTTTGTGGGGTGGAGCAGACAAAGCAGGAAGGAAGAGGGATGGATGCTGTGCCAGTTGTGCACCAGCTGAGCTCCCTGAACTCACATTGTTCATCTCCCAGCACTGGCAGCACCAGC